CTGCATCAAAAGCAGCATGGCCAGCAGGTCATGGGAAGTGATTTTTCCGCCTCTGTTCTGCTCTGGTGAGACCCCACCTGCAGTACTATGTTCAGCTCTGGGGTCCTCAGCATAAGACAGACATGGAACTGCTCGAGCGAGTCCACAGGAGGGCCACGGAGATGATCAGGGGGCTGGAGCACCTCACCTGTGAGGACAGGCTGAGAGAGTTGGCGTTGCTCACCCTGGAGAAGAGAAGGCTCTGAGGAGACCTTATTGCAGAATTTCAGTACTTAAAGGGGGCCTATAAGAAAGGTGGGGGCAATCTTTTTAGCAGCGCTGGTTGTCATAGGACAAGGAGTGATGTTGTTAAACTAAAACAGGGGAGATATAGACTAGATATAAGGAAGAAATTCTTTACTGTGACAGTGGTGAAACAGTGGAACAGCTTGCCTAGAGAGGTGGTAGAAGCCCCATCCCTGGAAACATTCAAGGCTGGATGGGGCTCCGAGCAACGTGATCCAGCTAAAGGTGTCCCTGCTCACTGAAGGGGGGTTGGACTAGATGGTCTTTAAGGGTCCCTTCCAACCCAAACTATTCTGTGATTCTGTGAATCTATAGCCTCCCTACTTTGTAGCATTTTGAATCCCCAGGCAAGTCTTACATGCCAACAGCAATAGAAATTACTAGAAAAAGAACGCTAAGGGCCACGTACTGCAATATGACTTGCACTGGCATATGAAACCATTGATGTTTTCTCAACATCCTGTTTTTCAGCAAATAATATATAGGATGTCACAAATGTAGATATGATATTAAGGTAAGCTTAAATTGTTGGGTCAGAGAATCTGTGGTGTCTTGCACTGCATTGAGAACTTTAATTTTATGTCCGAAAGAGATAGGACGTTCTGTATTTATTTTTATGGAACTTTGATACAAATCATTATTGTTTCAGAGCTTTTTTCCAGATCATATGATATCTTTTCCAAGTGAGACCAATGCAGCTGTAAGCAGCTCTGGGATATTACAGGTATGTAAACTTTGAATGATGAGCTACCATAGCTCAGAATTTCCCGTTGTCTGTGTTGTGTGAGCATAGTTCTTTGTCACTGTTGGATCTGTTGCTACACTTGGAATTGTTGGATCAATTTCCACACTCGGAAGCTTGCACATTCTTTCAGAATCAAGGAGTGCCAAAACAGACAAAATGCAGTAAAAATGGTTAATACCTTTATTGGGCAGTTCAGCTGAAAGACCCCGATTCCTTAAAAATGTAGAGTGCTGTAGTACTCATCACATACTCAACAGCAGGCCTTGGTAGAATACTGAGGAACTGGTAATGTGATACAAATGGATATAAAAAAAGAACTAAATGGTTAAACTTAATGAGTAGAAAATTTAGACTGACCAGTATGATTTGTTAGCTTGAAGGCTACTGTAGCCTTCGAAAAAAAAATATGGTAGGTCACTCCGTGTTAGTCATCTTTTAAGCAGACACCAGAGTTTAATTTACAGTGGGAATAATTTCACAGAATGACCATATCAGGGATCATCATCTTACTTCTCAAAAAGGGGAAAAATGAGTAATAAAGGTGGAAACATGCACATCATCACTCTTATTTGCTTGTCACTAGAAAAATTAATTAATAGAAGAACTGTCTGGTGTTAAGACAACAACCCTGTGTGTGAGTTTTGGGGATAAAGAATGATTGGAAAGGCAACATAATAACAGAAGATATTTAAGGTAGAACTGAAAGAAATACAGAAATTACAAGATTTTAATTTTTTTTAATCTATATAATAAATTCTACCTTAGCATCCACTAGTAAATGAAAAACATTAAAGAAATAATTCTCAAAGCATTCTTCTGTATTAAAGTTATATCTTTAGTTATATCTTTATAGACATGGATGTTAGTCAGGAGGTTAAGATTATCCCAAATATATTAAAAAATGTTTCAAATTAAATTTAATTGACACATGCTAGATTCTGTAAATCATTTTACAAACCTAAACGAAAACTTTAGTTTCAAAAGATGCTGCATATCCACTGAAAATTGGTTCACATTTGCTATCTAAATAGCAAATAGATTTTGCAGTCTAACATAAACATTTAAGTTAGAAAATTTTGTCCCCTGTGGTAATAGAACTTAATATTTTTTCTCACAAATGTAGTTTGGTAGTTTAAAAAAAGAAAAAATACTCTTATAATGTAACTGTTAGCTATATACTCTTGCACAGAACTTCCTTAAGCCCATATTGTGACATGTAGAATGTGTGCAGATCTTATGGGTAAGATTAACAATAATTGTAAGTGTATATTGTTACATCCCATTTTGATAGCTTGAAAAATTTGTGGCGAGATCTCCTCTGTTGGTATTTTATGTTGTACTGTCTGTTTAATTGTATTTCATCAAATGAAACTTACTAGGCACAAAGTAGAGAATACCTTTGTGGATTGTGCAGCCATTATGCATGTTTCAGCAGAAGCTGTTGGGTAAATTGTTTACAGTGAGTCGCTATTACCTTGGAAACTTTCATTAAGACAAGTTAATGGGCTTGTGTTATTATTTGTGATATGCTCGGTCAACTATCAAGGGAGACATTAGTTTTAACAACTCAGTGCTTACAAGTGATTAAAAAAATGACTTCTGATACTTTTATAGCTTTTTCTGGCTTGAGCTGTAAGCAAGTAAAACATTTTTCAAGTATGTTTTTCTTGACTTTCATTGAAAGTGAAAGATTTTGTCCCATGACTTTAACCAGAGTATCCAAATATCCTTAAAACCAAAAAAATGTTTACCTGTCTCCTATCCATTTAGCATGTGCTAAGAAAAATTACTAGGTCTGACGTATACCGAATGTCTATATATACCAAAGAGAGAGGTTTAATCTCTGCCATGAAGCCCTTTAGCCTAAAAAAAGAAAAGTGTGTCACTGTATTGATTAGAATAAGGCTGCTCTGAGACACAGCACTGTATGTACATATCCAGTGGTAGGCAGTATGGATCATTTGGAACTTGCTTTAGGTTATTTTTGCAAATTAAATGGTTTAAAACATGTAAAAAATTAACGTAGTGTGAAGATTTTAATCTGAGGCCTCTCCACGTAGTGATGAAATATTCTACTATTTTCAGAATTTGGTGTGGGTTGGTTGGTTGTTTTTTGAGAATTAGCAACTTTCATTGGTGAGCAACAAATTAATTGACTTGGTCTAATTAGATGTGAAACAGTTGTGGAATGTAATTTTAAACAGGGCTTATGATTTATTTAAAACATCATCTGCTTATTGGAGCAACTATTATTTTAGATGAATTCATGTGCATACTAGATCCTTTTGTATTCTTATTCATGACAGCATTTGCAATTAATAGACTGCACAGCATAGATAGTGTTGACAGAATTGAGTCCATCTGAGTTAGCAGATAAAATCCTAGCCTCGCTGAAGACAATATTTTTTTTTTTAATTACTTTGAAGGTAAAAATTTTATCCTAGGTTTCTTTCATTTTCTTTTTGTCTGTGAATAACATTTCTCCAATTTTGCAATTCTGTTTTTTTTAATCTTTAATTGTATTTGTAGCAGATTTTTTTCCACTATGCAGTATGTCATACAGTGTTTTAAATTTAACAGTGACATCGTCAAAATAGAAGGTTGAAATTACTACGTAATTACACTTTTTTCTGGTTTTGCTTTAAGAATAGACCTATTCCCCCCACCTCTTCCTCATTGTTTAATAGATGCAATTGATATTCAGGTTCTGTAGGTAGACTTGAAGTTCAGAGTTCAACTCTTCTATTGACCAATTTAGCTGCTTCTTTCTAATAGCTTTTTGTGAATACATTAAAAAAAGCTATTGTAGATAGCACATAACCAAGCCATCTTGCAGAGCAATGAAAAAAACCTTACACCTGATGTAGAATATATTAAAGAGGGGAGCAGAGGGGAGCATATGTCTTTCCTAAATAAACATTAAAAAAATAAATGTTATGAATACAAAAATTAAGTTAAAGACAGAACAGGATTACCAAGGCAATCACTCATAATTTTGTGAAAGGCAGAATTACTGCTAGTGTCTTTTCCTTTTGCCCTTTCACCATTGCCATCTCTTGCCCCATGTTTTTAGTTGTTCCCCTTCTCTGCCTTCACAGATTTAAAATTCAGGCTTTCATTTCTTTAATCTCTCTGCCACAGGCAGTCCCTCTTTCCACCCATCTGACTCCATTACAGTCTTCAGGCTGAAGTAGCCATGCACTGAATTTCAGTCTCTTGGCAATCTCGGAAATGTGTTCTTGTCTGCCCATTGCCTTTCCCCAACTTCCACTCCAGGTTTTGCTGGTCTTTCTCCCAGTCTAAACCTCAGATTGACAGAAGTCTATAGGAGACAGTACTGAGAATCAGTATCAGGTCTTCAGTGGAATTACTTGGTGCCCCCAAAATTTATCAGCAGGTTCAGGGAAAAATCCTGCTCATTCCCAGTAGAATTTGGCTGCATCATGACTCGCTGTCATCTCATCTTTGAAGAAATCAGTCATCAAATTCAAACTTGATTCCCAGTCTTAGGAAAATGATGGCTTCTTTAAGTCTCCAAAAGAGTGTGTAAGTGCTTGAGAAGCATCCACCTTAGAAAATATTGTCTCTGCTACTGCAAGCATTCTATCATGCAAAATGTTGAAGGTGCAGACAAGTAAGTTGTATCGTTATGAGTGCAGCTTTCAATCTTTATTGCAGTGTGACATTTAGTATTTCTGTGGGGTTTTATTATGATATCCATCTGAGACAGTGCAATGTTTTTCCTGTTCTGTTGTTTTTTCACTTGCTGATTGGATTTTTTTTTTTTTTTACAACAAAAGACATATATTTGCGGGGTTTTTTTCAGACTGGTTTTAAATTGGTTGATTTTACAGCTAATCAAATCGTAATTGGGTCCTTAGTGCTGTCATATATTAGTATCTGAAAGACATGGTGACATTTGACACCACCCTACATGTGATGTTATATATTTCACTGCACAGGGGAGAGGGTGCAAACATATTTGTGCGTATTGTGTGACTAATAATCCCTGTCTGCACCATACCGCCATTTGACTCTCCCCACTTCCTCCTATATTAAGGACTTTTCTTATTTTTCTTATTTTTGTCCTGTTTTGGTTACCTCTTATCTGCATAAACAGGGCTCTGTTCCCCCCCTATTAGAAACTTGCATGTACCTCCATTAAAAAAACCCAACTAATGAAAACAACGACAAAAAACCCAACCAAAACTATCCCGCAACAAAAAAAAACCCTCAAGGAAGTTATCTTTTGGACTATCTTCAGTTTTAGGTGTTTATTACAGACATTCAGTTCTCACTCTGAAATATTTTTACTGCTCATTCCTTCTGACAGTTAATGGTTTTGACTACTACTTGTTCATGTTATATTTTCTCACACAGTCCTCAGCTGTCTTAGAAAGCAAAAGATGGATCTAGGATTGCCTTTTCCCTAGCATTATTGGTACTTTATTTTAATTGATAGTGTGGGTACCACAGTGTCTGTTGAAGCTGAGCTTTGTATTGCTCCTCCACTTTGGTCCACTGAGTAAGAAAAGTGTTTTTCATGACAGCAGTTCTGGTTTGAAGCTCTTGTGCCAGAAATCCTGGACACTTGTTGCAGGCTGGGAGACAACTGCTCCTTTCATCTTCAGCAGAGATACTAAAGCCTGAAATGATGCTCTTTTCTTTTTACATACATTGACTCTTTTAGATTTTCCTAGAGCTTCCATTTCACTTTGTTTATGGAGTTCAAATGCTTTTTCAAATCACCCTTTATATTCACCATCAGTGAACCTGTAATACATGGCAAATGGGAAGATTAAGAGGCTGGAACACCTACAAGGACCTGCTGGTCTGCTTCAATGTGGCTGAAATAGCTTAAACTGCATTTGCACACAGCTGTGTGCCAGCAGCACATGTAGCCAGATGTACCCAGCCTTACTGTAACTTTTCAGGTAAAGAGCAGTGAAGCTATTCATAATGCCTTCTTAGTTGTGGGCTAGGGCACTTGCCTGTCAAATGAAGCCTGCCCATGTTACTGCAATCACACCAGCTGAATTTAATTAGCTCAAGTTGGTCTACAGGTGGTATGTACAGTCATGCGTCTGACTGCAAGGTAGGAAAACAATAAAAGTGAAATAAACCATGTGTATCTTGGTTGGACTGCATCATTTAATGGCCAGAGAACTTGGTATACTTCCAAAATCACATTGACTTCATTGTTTTGTTGCAGTCTGGTGCTGACCAGTCTGTCTTTTGCTGGGTAATCTCTTGCTTCATGTCTCCTCAAATCAGATTTTCTGGCAGTAGACAGGAGGAAAATGCAGCAATGAAAGCTGCAGATACTGACCAGAAAATCCTTTGTTCCCTACCTATGTAAGTCTAGATAGTATTTATGATACTGCAGGCAAGCCTGGGGCAAGGTTCCTTGAAGAGCTTGGTAATAACTTAGCTTCCTTTGCAAATAGGGAAACTGAAGAATTTTAGGTTAGTATGTTTAGATGCAAGTCATAGTTCTGAGTAGTTTTATTGGAAGAAGAGTAATAAAAATTAATGCATTACATGGAATTAGAATAAAGATAACATGGTTGCCAGCTTTTAGTGGGTACTTTTGCAGACTGAGTAAATCCGTGTACTTGGTCTTAGCAAGATAGCAGCTGTGTTGCACTCTGACAACGTCTGGTTGAAATGGCTGAAGAGAAGCCATTGAATAGCTTGAGTGGAGGCAGGAGCTGTCTTAGTGACTGGCCCAGCCTCTCCTAGGTTTGGTTCAACTAAAGCTCCTATGTAACCACTTCAGATCCTGAGGCCTTTGTTCCCTCCTTTTGAAAATGGTAATATCTGCCTGACTCACATGGTTTTGTGATTCAGATTTTGTGATTAGTTTGCTGCATTAATTTTAACTCAGATCAGTTCCTTTATCTGGTTTGTAACACAGGGGAGGGGAGGGATGGCATTTTTTTTCTTCCATTGGTAGCATTGATTGGCAGTTTTGTATAAATGGGGTCTGAGGCATGGGATCAGAACTTCTTACAGTGGTTTTGTTGCTGAAGTCAGCATATTGCATAACTAATTCTCTCATTTCAAACCAAATGTTCCATATAAATATGTAACTTGCTTAACATACCTTGGAGTTGTGTAACATTCTACACGCCTTAAATCAGAGGTACTCTTCATGGGATTAGATGTAATCACAACTGAATTACTGTGGTGTGATAGTGGATTTAGGGGTTTATTCCCCTTATTCCTGTCTGAGTATGTTAATGAAACAGAAATGTGGGTTTCAGATGAAAAGAAAAACTGCATGTCTGATATTTTCTTTCAGATGTTCTTAAGCTCCAGCACGTATCCTGAGATTCATGGTTATCTGCATGCAAAGGAGCAGGGAAAAAAATCGTGGAAAAAATTGTACTTTATTTTGAGAAGATCTGGCCTTTATTTTTCCACTAAAGGTACATCTAAGGTACGGGAACAAAAAAAAAAAAAAGAGAACTATGAAGTTAGAGCAAATGTGTATGTACTTATCATTTGTTGTAGTAATAACCAAAATTTGAATTTCAACTTATAGTGATGAAAAGGAAAAAATAATCAATCTATTTATTATAAATAAAATCTAGAGAGATATTTACATATAAAACTGGGAAAATATTGTCTTAGAAACCGTAGTTTCTTTTTGCGTGATCACTTTGCTTCATTCTAGTTAATATTTTTCTAGTCAGTTAACAGAGTACCCTTTAAAAATGAATTTTCAAATAGTAGTTAAAATTTTGAAGTATAAGTAGGTGCTCTGAAAAGTGGACATAATACTTCATTATCCAAAATAAATAAATACCTATGTATAAAAGGACTTTACAGGAAGATTTTGAGAGTTCTCAAATTTTGTCACTGGACACTCGACAGTTTTTCATTTTACTAGTTCAACTTTTTGATGGCAGTACTTTAAACCTGGCAGTATGTTAAACAGAATACATTGGAGTTGAGGCACCTTTTACATAAACCACTTAAAACAATGTTTTTTCTTGTTCTGAATTTCCTGTTAACTGCCAGAGTATTCATTGAGCTGGTTTTGTATCCTTCAACAAATTTCTTTTGTTTGCTTCCTTGACTTAATTAACCTTAGACAACGGAGATAATGGTTAGAAATAGTAGTGGACAGTAATTACTGCAGTATGTTGTTTTTCAGATTACGAAACTACATTTTATTTTTATGTTTGAAACGTATGCTGCTCTCAAAACTTGACTCCTATTCTGATACTATTGTGTCTTGGATTTAGTGGATGTTTTCCCAGAAATTACATACTTGTACTTGGTTTCTTTCCTTCCCTGGAAGAATGAACTCTTTGACTAGTTTGAGGTGTTCTCTCTCTGCATTATAAAATTAATGTTGAGTTGTCTCTTTCTAGATTTCATGTCACAGTTAAAACGGCAGTATGTAAGACTGTTTTGGGACAGGATAACTACTATACTCTTCTGAGTTTCTTAACTGGAGAGGCTGGCTAAAAATAGTCTAACTGTATTACATTGCTCTTCTTTTTAGGAGCCAAGGCATCTTCAGTTTTTCTGTGAATTCAGCAATAGTGATATGTACATGTCTTTGACAGGCAAAAAGATTTCTGGAGCACCAACAAATTATGGATTCTGCTTTAAGGTACAAGCTTATTATTCTGATACATATTAAAGCAAGCCACAGTTTTTAGGTAAGCTTAAGTTTCTTTAAGGTTTTTGAAAACAATATTCAGCTGTCTATTATAAAATAGGAGAATTAGTGGCTTTTATTTCAACAGGTATTATCTTCAAGATATGCATTAATGCTAAAAAACATGTGCTGTGGCCTTCTAGCCTAACAAATCAGGAGGAACCAGAGACCTGAAACAGCTCTGTGCAGATGATGAACAGAGTAGGACCTGTTGGATGACAGCAATTAGATTGCTTAAGGTAATTCTTTTCTGTGGAGTTAACTTCTTAAGTTTACTATGTGAAATTTTGATACTGTGCGGTAGAGAAGTAACGTAATTCTAGGTTCCCATGCTATAGCAATATTAATTTTGTACTCTGAAAGCTTATTTTCCTTCATCCTAACAAACAGAGAGAGATCAAAGTACTGGAATTATTGTAGGGGATGGGATGTCTTGAAGCCTCAGTCCTGCAAATGCTTAACATTAAGCGTATGCTTATATGTAACCATGTTGAACTCAGCGAGATTGTTGAGTAATGTTGAACAAAGTGACAAGAACACACAAGAAGGGAACTTTAATATGCTTTTGAAATGTGTCTGCTGTGACAAAATAGGAATAGGTCGATGTATTACATGGGTAGTATTTAATGCAGAGCGTACATTTATAAAGGTAGCAGCAGCAGCAATGATGATGTTGTGTATTTCCTTATCCTAACAGTATTTCTCCCTGAAAAGTTGTGTTATCTTTTACATCTGCAAAATAAATTTACTTGGCTTAGGTTTCTAATTTAAAATGCTAACCATGTTATTTTCTGGTTTTAGTATGGGATGCAGCTGTATCAGAATTACATGCAACCTTATCAAGGTAGAAGTGGCTGCAGCCCTTTGAACGTAACACCTATGGTATGTCCCACAGTAGCTCCATGAATAAATATGTTGTTTGTGCCATCATGCTATTTTTAAGTAATTTGTGCCAGTTACATTGCTGACCTGATCCTGCAAATCTTTGCACATGCGAATGCTTGCTGACATATTTAGGGCTGTCAGGGTTGACTAGAGAGCTAATTAATTAATTTACTTACTTAATACAAATTGGGTAGTTCAGACCAGTTAACAGGCTTTTTCCCTTTGTCAAATCTCCAGTATTTTGGAAGTTCATTGGCTTATTATCACTGACAAAAAGAATGGAAAGAGGATTTTGAAAACAGCAGCGGAAGTATAAATGCATTAAAAAAGAAGCAAAGTGTTTAAGGTCATAAATGATGAATAAGAAAGTTATAACAAATCCTTTTCAGTATACAGTAATACTTCCGTTGTTGTTTTTAATATAAAATATTAAGTACTTTAATTTCAGCTGCTGTAATACTGACCGGACTTCAGAGGAACACCTTAATTTGGCAGAACTGGGTTTTGGAGGAACAACAGCCTATCCTAGATGCTGCGTCCATCTCCTCAGTTGAGATTGGATCAGATTGTCATTTTCTTTAATAACTTGTTCTTTATGAGTCATTTGATTTCAGACTTTTTCGTGGATGATTTATATCACTTTTGTGGTTTTTGTTGGCTAAATTGGGTAAAAATTACTTGTTGCCCGGACTTGTGATAGTGATTTTATGGTGGATTTTTTGAGCTTTTATTATAGTTCTTGCTGTTAAAATGCCTAAAATATGCATTTGCTGTTATAGGTATTCACAAAAGTAGTTTTCAGTGATACTGCTAATAAGCATGGCATCAACATGATGCTTAATACACTGACCATGTCTTTATGTTATGTGAAACTGTTACATAGCCAGCTGCTGCTTTTATAACAGATCTGGGAGCCATTACTAATTGCACTGTTGCGTGCATTTTAGCTCATGTAGCTTCTAACACAGGCAGAATCTGTAACCAAGATTGAGCACGGCACTTGTGTATAATTCATGAATTAAATAGCAAATTGGATAAATTTGGGAATTAAGTGCACAAGATAATGAACATACTTCATAGGGGAACTACTTCCACGTTTCACATTCCTCAATAACTCACAACCATGTCAGCTACAAAGAGTTCCCTCCGCTCTCCTAGAGGCAAACATTTTCTCCTATTTTGCCCTTGCTTTTTTTTTTACTTTTGCAAAGTTCGTTACTCATTACAATTACTCAGGCAGACCTTAGACTACAGTGCCAAGAATTACAGTGAACTACAGAATTGCAGTCTTCTATATCTAGTTATATTCATGCTTGTAACCAAATAGGAACAAAACAGAGCTGCTTTGGTTTTGGACTGGGAAGCTTTGCCAATCCTACAGAAATCTGGGCTTCTTGTGTTCCAGATGTTACTTTAACTTATAGAATGCTAGAATGTTCTTTTAATTATTTGTTATTCCAGTGAGCCATTAGAACCCATATTAAACTTGATTTTGTAAACCTTGTTTTCTGAGAAGTATTTTGGTGAGTTTTAAGACTGTTTTGTCAAACTTCAGTGCTTTTTATTCTATTGTGATAAACTTGATCTGGGAGGAAAAAAAACCAAGCATTTTTTATAGCAGATCCTGCAGTTGTTGAGTCTATTAGAAGAGTTAGAAGGGATGTATTAAAATAGAAGTTAAACTCCATAGAAATGGCTGTTTTCAATGCTTAAATCCAGTAAACTTTGAGTGAAAGTATATATAGAAAATATATACAATTATAATGTATTTCTAACAAAATATTTCAAATCTTTCTTAATTTGATGGTTGTGTATGTATAAGAATTTTTTGTGTTACTTCCACAACTTAATAACAGTTTCCTGACTTGTCTTGACATGGAAAGGGCTAGTTATAGTTAAAAATATAAATAGAATTTATGGTAAAGGGATGTATTTATCATCCATTGCAGTAATGCAAAAAGATGATCTGTCTTGCCAGACTGTAAAATTTAACTTTGCAGCAGCATACTGGAATTACAAATGCTCCCTAGGGTAAAATGAGTTTGTCTCTGATGGGAAACACTGCAGATATTTGAAACACCACTTACAAAATATGTTTTCTCAGAAGCTCACTTTTAAATGATGGATCTTTTAAAAAATGAACAAACTAATTTTTTTTTTTTTTGTTGCAGAGAAGCATTTCAGAAAATTCTTTGGTAGCAATGGATTTCTCAGGACATAGAAGCAGAATTATAGAAAATCCAACAGAAGCCCTTTCAGTTGCAGTTGAAGAAGGATTAGCATGGCGGGTATAAACATCTTTGCTTGATCAGAATAGTATTTTCTGATTTTTTTTTTTAAATAAAAAGCTTTGAAATCATGTTTTTACTCCTCTTTCATGCAGAGGAGAGGGTGTCTACGGCTCAACACACATGGTAGTCCTATTGCCGTGTCTAACATGGGTATGTGCAAGTTAATTCATTGCCAGAGAAATGCAATAGCTGGTTCTTTCAATAAAGGCAAAATGTTTTTAAAAGATCTTTATTTCTACAGCTATACACAGATCTCAGTCATGGTTTCATCATAAAATCTCTAGAGAAGAAGCTCAGAGACTTATTTTGCAGCATGGACTTGTGGATGGGTAAGTTAATTCTTTGCGTAACTCTTCTGAGACAAATTTCTAGTCAAAACTGCTATTTTCATGTACTTCTTATTGGGGGGGGGGAATGGAGGAAGGTAGATTTTGCACTTACCTAATAGAAATAAAAATTATTTTATGTAAGGTTATCTGGGGATCGGTTGATTTTTATTTTATATCTTTTGGAAGCAATAAAGTGGTGAACTAACACTTTGATTCTGTCACTGACAGATTACTTATGTCCACTCAGACCCAGGCTCTTGAGCTCTATATTTGCACAATATTCTCTGGGAACTGTCAACTTTACCACCAGTGTCTTTTGTATCTCTTATTAGTGATGAAAGAATGAAAAAAAGCCTGAAAACATTGTTCTAAGATGACCTGTGCAGGGACAGACATTGAAAAAAGTATGCTTTTCCTCATGAAATGACTAAAAATTGTATTATACCTTAATGGTAAACAATAAACATTAGGATAAGACTTTTATTTTTCTCTCATTTAAATATTAGTTTAAAAAAAAGACAAAGGAAGTAGGTATTTTCTGTTCAAATCCTGTTTTTCATTTCTGTATTTTTATCCTTCTGTATTAAATGTAAACTTAGGCCTCTTTCATTCAACAAGTAATTCCATAAAACTCTGTTTCTCTGAGTCTGTTTCCAATTAGTTACCTGTAACATCACATTACTGGTTAAATTCCTTCAGTTTTAGATCAAGTATGTTGTAATACTGTTTTCTACATCTGCAGAAAGGGCTCAGGGCGGGGGGGAAGCGATGGGAAGGAAAGAGAGAGAAATCGTCATACTCGGCAAGGATGGCTAATTGCACTTCCCCTTTTGTATTTTTTCTTCTTTTTTTAATTTCAGGGGTCCTGTTTTTAAGCCTGGCTAATCATCCTGAAATTGCTTTTGTGCTCTGCATTCATTTTTGCATTTTTTACATGAGAGGGATGGGACATGGGGGTGAATCCAACATCTGTTTCTGAGCAGTGTGTCATTCTAGAGCTGATGAATCTTACAGTGTATTTCAGTGGGTACACACACATACTGTTAAATGAAACACACTAGATTTGGCAAGTAAAGAGCAGTGGTGTTTGAGATGAGAAAGTGAATACCTTGCTAACATTAGTTTAGTGCAGTGGTTATGTTATATTCCTGGATCTATTCATAGATATGCATTGTGGTTTTGGTGAGGGTGATAATACTCTTGTGTGGACTGTCTAGAACTGATTAGAACATGGTAGTATGAGCGCTCATATGCTGTCAGATACATATTCAGGAGTTAAAATGAAGTCATGAGTACATTACAGCATGTGACAAGTGCTGTGCTTTTTAATGGGCTGAGAGATAGGGGCAGAGAAAATAGTCCATGTTGAGCCTTTTAAGGTGATCCCAAGCAGGGACATCTCCTGCATATATGACAGGTTGTAGGACCTCTGTAATACTGTATGTACTAATAAATACGCTGTTCATGGTGGCTTATGGAAGATAAAGGGCCTATTATATAAAGGATCTACAGTAGTCTCAGTATTTGGATAACCTAATAACAGAATTTGGGATAGCAACAGTCTTAAGGTGTGCTATGAAGCAACAAAGTTTTTGGATCTACTGTTCTGGTGTGAAACCAACTTTCTTAAATAACTTTATGTAGCAATATTGTAGATTTCATACTTTACCCCGTAAAGGACATTTGAAGACTTTTCAGTGATAAATCGTTGACAGGATTGCAAACTGATCAGCATCTGATTGATGAATGGGATAATAACATTACCAAAAGGCCCATGACAAAATGCAACTGGTCATTGAGAGAATTTCTTACAAGTTATGAAAATCATCCACTCCAGCCTGGAGAAGAGAAGGCTCTGGGGAGACCTTATAGCAGCTTTCCAGTACTTAAAGGGGGCCTACAGGAAAGGTGGGGAGAGAGTATTTATCAGGGAGTATAGTGATAGGACGAGGGGTAACAGTTTCAAACTGAAAGAGGGGAGATTTAGGTTAAATATTAGGAAGAAACTCTTTACTGTGAGGGTGGTGAGGCCCTGGAAGAGGTTCCCCAGAGAAGCTGTGGCTGCCCCCTCCCTGGCAGTGTTCAAGGCCAGGCTGGATGGGGCTTTGAGCCACCTGGTGTAGTGGAAGGTGTCCCTGCCTGTGGCAGGGGGATTGGGATTGGATGATCTTTAAGGTCCCTTCCAACCAAAATCATTCCATGATTCTATGATCCAGCATGTCTAAAAAGTTCCCTTCCAACCAATTTTTCTAAGATTCTGTGGACTACAACCCTCCCTTCATAATAAAGTTTTTAAAGGTTCTTTGACAACTAAAGTAGGTCTATTGTGATAAGATTAGAAAAGAGTAAAGGCCTTTTTATGTGAAGGAGAACAAATGTTGCTTATTTAACAGCTTTTTTTACTGTTACAACAAGGAAAAAAGTAAGAAAATGGACTTTAAAAGATCTGATGAATGGGAACATAATTCCTAAGTAACCTGTATTTTCTTTCCTACCCAATGTCATTACTTTGTGTATTGTTTAATGTGGATCCGAGTATTTGGGTATAGAGACCCCATTTTGAGTATCTGCAAAGTGGCACGTTCTTATAGTGTCATTTTTTTGAATAAAATAAAATGCCAGTCCTTAATGACAAACATATAAAAGATTTAAGTTTATGCAAAGGATCTATCTAAATATGCGCTGAAAAAATTTCAGTCATTTCCTGTAGAGAGTGAAAGGCCACTAGGTGGTGAGAGAGAGCTTGTTAGGAGAGCCTGAGTCTGTTGAGAAGTCTTATCTGTTTTTATACTTGCCGTGTGCTCCTGCAAGCCATATGCTGAGTTAGCAATTATCCCTCCTTAGTAACTGAATTAGTATTAGGGCTCCAAATTAGACTGAATGGGGGTTCTGATAGAAACGTTAGTGAATTAGATGATCTTTAAGATCCCTTACAACCGAAACTATTCTATGATTCTGGACTCCAAATTTCTTGATTCCAGGTATTTCTTACTTTGTAAAAATAGAATTCTTAAAAACTTTGAGGGTGAAGTTAGTAGTTTGGATCCATGCCGTTAGTCAGTGAAAATCCACTGTAAACCTTCATCTGCTTTCTTCTCCTGAAATCCTTTCTTTTCGTAGAGCAGTTGTCTCATTCCTGGTATGTGGTTGGGCAAAAGTAGGTGGCCATTAGTGCTCACTTGGTTGATACCTGCAAGTCCATCTTGCCCATTTCTTTTGTGTCCTTAAAGAGCAGCATGCTTGCCAGTGGCTGTCCCTCCATTTCCCTTCTTTGGTACATTGGTTAGCTATATCTGTTCCAGACCTGCACAGTACGAACAGTTCAGACTCACTCCATTACAAAGCTATGAATCACATCCTTCCTTCCCTCTGTTGTCCAAACTCTTCTCTGCCATTATTCCAAACCCAGTGATTCAATGAAAGCTGTCTCTTAATTAGTGTATCATCCTTTGCCTGTACCAGATTATCCTACCAGGATTATGGCAAAATTATGTCTGTCCATAACCTGACTGGAACAAGTTATAAGTGAACTAGTTGCAGTGACACTGTTGGCCACTGAGAGTGTTGTGATTTGAATAATGATGCCATAAAGTTAGCAGAGTATAGCTCTTGTCTCAGTGGGAATTTTGCTGATATGCATTTATGAATATTGGCCAGATGTGAAAATCATTCTGATATATCTTGCATTACCTTTTCCGTAAACTTTCGGTTGGACTACCTTTTGAATTTTCACTATAACGCTTGTGATTTAGGAAGCTGTCAGAGTCCAAAGAAGAGTTTTGTTCAAAGCAGAAAATTTGAGGGTTCTTTTTTGTCTGAAGAGATGCATTGTAATTATATTATAATGACGCCTACAGTGTCATTCATTCTGAGAATGCTTATTTGTCACATAATAGACAAGGTGAAGAAGAATATAAGAAAAGGTATTTCCAGTGATGTTTGTGAAGAAATACGATTAAAAGCATAATTTACATAATTACTATTAATTTTCCTTTTCACTAATACTTACTGTAATGAATTTACAACAGTTTTAACTGGATGTTTTCAAAACGCTTTCCAGAGTGATCTTACTGTGAAAATTTTCAATCTCTTTTAGGGTATTCCTGGTACGTGATAGCCAAAGTAACCCCAAAACATTTGTGTTGTCATTGAGTCATGGATTAAAAATAAAGCATTTTCAAATTGTTCCAGTAAGTGATTTCTTCAGTTCATATATACAGTTGCAAAACAAAACAATTAAATAACTGTGACAGAATATGGATGGATTTTTTTTTCTTTTACTGTTATATAGAAGATTTAAGCGTAATACTTGTATCACTAACAGTAATTATTATTCTTGAGTAAAGTTGAACATTTTTGAGCTTTGCTGTTTTATTTGTTATAAAGCTTGACTAGTGTTATGAAATCCTAAAAAGTGTTTTGAAAAAATAGACAAATCTATTTGAACTGGAGTCAATGCAAACCTGATTGCATGAAAATTGTGTATTAATAAAGGTCATATTGCGTTTTCGTTTTTCAATATGCGCACGATTTAGTCATCTGTTTAGGTGGACTGCCTACAATGTGTGTGTGTATGTATATCTCACTGACTTATCTGTTCAGAATAGTTTCTCTCAGTATTTGTAGTCAAACATTTCTTGCTGATCTCTCTTCTTGATTCATGTTATTGTGATGTATTCATGTCCAAGTCTTCTTCAGGGGGACAATTTTAGCAAAGAAATTGATATACTTATTTAGTCCAGCTACTTATAGGTGAGCTGAAATTTCCTACATTGAAATCATATTTCCGTCAGAATTCACTGAAGATATCATCCAATTCTCCTGCCAGAATGGCCACCTTTCCACATCACTTCCACTCTCTCCAGAGGTGATTTATGCTGTTTTCTTTACAGGATGCTTCTGTTGAGAGGAGAAACACTTTAGCACAGTGTTATTTAGCCACAGATACTTGACGTAACTGAGCAGACCTATAGCTTTTTCTTCTTTCTTCACAGGAACCTTTTTTCCAGACACATAATCCTCTAGCCTCCATGTTTCTTGCTACTGAAGTTTCTAGGAGATTGTGCTGTTTCTCAGTAGAAGTGACTGTGGTTACATTTTTGGTTTTGTTTCTGATCTGGTGATCCCCTATGATCATTCACCTAATTTCTGTATGTACCTAGGGCTTATAGGTGATGTCCTCCCCTAAAAAAGTTCCTGTAGAATAAAACTGAAGCATTATTTGGGAGGGGGAAAGGAGTGAATCAATGTTAGTTAAAACAATTACCCGGGATTTTTGTTGTGTTTAGGTACAAACAATGGAGGAGTCCTTTATCCAAAAGTGATAGATATGCGCTGGATCCCATGTGAGCATCAGCATATGCTCTGTGATCAGAATTCCAGCCTCTGTGATTCTATTGACTGTGGTTGCTTCTAGTATTTACTTTGGGATAACTGTTGTGTGGTTTAGAGAACCTTCTGAGCTGTGTACAAATACTGTATGATTCTACTTCATTGGGTTGGCATTTAACTCTCAAATTTAAGAGACCACTTTTTCTTTCCCTATCAGGAAACAGACCCTCTCTTGTCTAAGAGCAGATGTAGCAGAAAGCTGGAATTATTTTCGGTTTCCTCTGAGCTGGAAGATTCTCCTCTTCCCTTCAAAAAAAAAGATCTATTCAGTTCTAATGTTCTGCTGCAGATGTAAGCAGTGCATTTGAGGATTTGGTCATATACATGCATGCTAAAATGTTGTTGTGCTGTTGTAGGGTCTTTGGAGGAACCAGGAATTCTTTGTTTTGACATAGATTGTCTACAGACTTGAATCAATTTTTCCTTGCTGATGGTTTAGATGACCTGTACTACTTCAGTGCAAAACCTGTCTTACTTGAAGGAAATTTTTTTTGATTGTTTTTAAAGTAAACCAATTTATCCTATGCTAGTTACCAGAAAAAATAAATCTGTAATGAGAACAACTTAATCCAGAGAGAGAATGTCAATATGGAAACTGAGTTCCCCAAGCATAGGCATATTCCAGTTCTTTTCTGTCATTTAATTTCCAGTGGCATTCAGTACCCTCATGCCATTTTCAGTGCCTTGACTTACCGCATGCTGTGTTTTTGCTAGAAGAATACTCTGTAAGGAGTTCAGAAAAGTATTTTTTGAGGGAGCAAAGATTTTGCTTCCAGTTGCTGCTGATCTTCTAAATGAATTTATCGTTTTCTAAGAAACAAGACATTTTGTGTTACTGCAGTAAGCAAGCAGCTTATTAGTTGGAGATCAAGGTTGGTTTTGAACTTCAAATCCTACTGTTCTTCTAAACTCTTACCTTTTTCCAGTCATTGGGAAGAGGAGATAAACTTTCCTATTAAATGTAAACAAATAAATGGCATCTAGAAGGTCTTTTTACAAGTTAAAAATCATTTGGTCTCTAAATGAAATATGTTTCTCTTACATTTTAAGTTGCTTCGGGTTATACTGCATTTAAAAATGGCTCCTTTTAGATAGGGCATGCAGCCTGCCAGTTCAAGCTTCCCCTACTTTAGCAGATGCATCATGTTAACATTGGTAACATGTGCAACAGGTGTTGCAGGTGGGTGGCAGGGCGTTGATTGTAAAAAGTTGAAAAGAAAACCTTTGGAATACATTTGGGGTCCTATACTGTGAAAACTGGAGAACCTGATAGCTCAAATGTATTTTTCAGCCTTACTGCTCTGAGCTGATACAAGTTAAATTCCGTTTAGTCTTCTTTCACGTGTTCTGTAGTCCATGTGAAAGAAGAAGAATTGATATACATTTCTGGGACTGTCTTTTTCCAGTAAATTTTCCTTCATAACAGCTGCCTTAGCTTGCAGAAGATGTTAGGTTCTTGGGCAGCATACCTTTGATACGAGTTTTGGCTTTACAAAATATTGATTGCTTTAGAATTAGCAGTCTGTCTGGTGTTAACTTCAAGGTTTGGGATTAACTTGTCTGTCTGGAAATGAGGTAAAAATAGAATCCCGGTCAACAGATATCAGAATTGTCAACTCTTCTTGCCCCCAGTGTGTTGGCAGGAAAATTGCATGCATAAAGAAGGTCCGATAGATCATAATCCATTTTCAGGTTCTTGGCTGGAGTACAGGAATTTACACATGCACACATTGGTAATTCCTTAACTAGCAGTGTTTGACCTGGATTGACCAAAGCCTGAGAATCAGGAAATTACAAACTACTTCCAGATATGATAGAAAGGGGTAGAATAACCAGGAGTCATAAGCAGTTCAACAGCTGCTTCAGATGAGAAATCTTAATTACAGGTAAGAGAGCTAATTATAACTTCTCCCTTCCCCTGTACTCAAGCAGGATAGTTATAT